CATCGCCATTGGGTCGGAGGCCATCGCTATTTGGTTGGAGCCCATCGCTATTAGGTTGGAGGCCATCGCCATTGGGTCGGAGGCCATCGCTATTTGGTTGGAGCCCGTCGCTATTACGTTGGAGGCCATCGCCATTGGGTCGGAGGCCATCGCTATTTGGTTGGAGCCCATCGCTATATTACGTTGGAGGCCATCGCCATTGGGTCGGAGGCCATCGCTATTTGGTTGGAGGCCATCGCCATTGGGTCGGAGGCCATCGCCATTGGGTCGGAGGCCATTGCTATTTGGTTGGAGGCCATTGCTGTCACATCATGACACCATGAAAGTCATGGAAGGTGTTTCCCTCCACAGTTCAGCTCGGCGTCCGGCCCAGGGATCTGCCCGGTTGGTCGGGGAGGCCGGAGCGCTGCCGGCGCGGGCCGGGGAGCCCGGCTCTCCAGAGCCTCTGGTTCGATGATTTCATTTCATGCAAGGCACAAGCAAATATAACCTGGAACCCTTGAAGGATAATACCGTTTTGCGTCCAAGTCAGTAGAGCTCAGGAAACTGATCGAGTGCTCTGAAACAACTGACTGCCCTGGTCAGCAGGCCTGACATGTCACTCTCATCGATGTCGATAAATGTATTTCTCACCACAATTCCTGGCAGAGAAACGTGCAATCTTCAAAGCTCCCTCCAAGCTCTTTTCTACTTCCCCAACAGTCTGACCGGCAAACACTGCCGTCATGAATGCACGGTGTATCAGTCTTTGTCCACAGCCTCTTCACACTCCCTCACTGGTACATGTTCAAAACGGGGGTTCTGACCGTATCGCTGGGCCCCTGGGCAGCCCCGCTGGACGGAGAATCAGGCACCGCGTTCTCATCCTCCTTGGTTTCTTCGCTGTCCGGGGAGGTGGGAGATTCCTGGGACTCCGGTGACGCCGGAATCACCTCGGCTTTGAGCGGTCGATGTAGCACAGACGTGAATCCGACAGCTTCTACAAACTCCAAATCATTCACACAAAATTGAAATATATTGATATATGACTTAGATTGACATAAATATGACATAATCCACTGCTCAAAGGTGTTCTCGCTGTGAGATTTGTCGAGCTGAAACAGGGACTCGCAGGCCAACTCGTGGGCAGCTGGGTGTGGCCAGCAGGGTTGACTTCTGAGAAAAGGTATGGACAAGAATTCAACACGTGTTAAGCCCGCAGGTCCAGAAAACGGTACCCCAATATCCGGACAAATCTCCATACTGATCAACCACTTGTGCGGCTGTCCGTCGTCAACGCAGCCATGCCACTAGGACAGAGCAAAAAGTCAAGCATCAAGCATGCATCACTGCATCTGGAACCAGTCGATGAACCCCACCGTTGAACTACCGCTAACTGAAGGTGTCCTGAACCACCCGGGAACTCGAAACTCACAACCAAGGAATACATCTGAGCTATTTCCCATGGATGGTTTGCCCTTGCA